CTGTGTACATCAGTGTGGTATACTACATGAAAATTAGAATAACTGGCACAAGATATGTGTCTTACTGAGTACATGTATATTAGACTTCTTAATCTGGTTTACATACTGTCACCTGCTCTTACCCTCTGAAGCCATCCACTGGTAGTCAATTCAGAGCATACACCATAGGTCAAGCACTAACAGTGCTGTAGCGCTGGCAGCAAAGTCAACACCAGCTGCTAATGTCCTGTCAAAGATGATAAATACTCGTACCACGAGTTCCGTGCTCCTCAAGCAAGACTTACACCCAAACAGCAAGCTTAAGAGGTAGGTATACACCCAAAGTCATACCCAAGATTGTTTCAGCATCTTCAGTCGGCACACAAAACCATGCAACTTCCTTCTATAATCAACAAAAACATTATGTTTAGTCACGCTTTTGAATTCATGGTTTAGGGTTTACTAACCCATGTTTAAAAATATCAAAAGTCAAAATACTGGTTCCTAAACAGTGCATAGCAGAAGGGAAGGGAGAGACTTCCTTCCAGAAGGAAAGGTTTCTGCGCGAACACCAATTCCTGCAAGGTCTTCAGCAACTCCTGAAGGAGCACAAGCACAATCAAGTTCAGAATATTTAGATGTCACATAATGTTACTTGATTACACTCATCTGTCTTGAGTTAACTTGACCCAGCTCTACAGGGACAGCACTGAATGATGTCAAACAAGCTCATCTTGTTTGGGTTTTTTTTCTGTAAACCAACTGGCTTCTCAAATTTGCTCACTATGCTGATGCAAGATCACAAAAAAAGCTTTAACACAAAGAGGTGTCTTCCAGAAAAAGGGCTTTTGTCAGGCACTGCAGCTTTTACCAGATTACAACTATTCTGCTGAATAAAACATTTCTTAACACCATTACATATCTTAGCACATTTAAGTATTACTCAAGACAGAAACAGCACCTACGTGATTAGTGCCAAAGAGCAACTGCCAAACAAAGCCACAGTAAAATATTCCACTTCTATTACTTTTGTACTTACACCATCTGAGCCTATAGTTCAAACATCGAATAACTAGTTTAATAGCCTGGCACTTTTTTAGTCACTGTCTGCAACTGAGAACATTAGAATAAGTAAGAGGATGCTATATGTAGCCTTGTCTGAATTATATCAGGGCCCCTTATGTCCTGGGAAGATCGAGCCCATTTCTCATTTTTCAACTCTCTGTTTTTAAATAATTAAATGCACAATCAACAGGAATAGTCAAATAACCCAGGATTTTTAGTAATAATTACATCAAAATGAAGGTTTCCCAATTTACTTTCAAAATCATCTTATGAACTCTCCTAAGTACAGGGAAGCCCATCAGATACAGAAAAATCTGAACCAACTTACCCAAAAAAAGTGTTTTCTCCTTTCGCAATATAGCTTATGAGAGATGCTTTTGGTGAAGTTTTACCTTTTATCAAATAAAATTTACTCTACTCTAAGTGGGACAAGTTAGAATACTGACTCAGTAGAACCAGTTCCATAAACCAACCGTCAGTGCTATAATCCCGATTTAAAGCACATCCAGTTGTCATACTGAGCCCTAGCCACCCTGCAGACGAAAGCATAGCTGTTCTAGGAGAGAATTTAGAAGAGTTATTCTCATTCCCTCAAGCTTTTCTCCCTTGCTTTACCAAGGACAGCTGTGTTTAAATATCTGGTGGTTTCTTAGCATAATGGCAGTAAAAAATCCTCTATGCTGCTACCACAAAGAATCAGCTATTTTAACTGGCACGTGCACAGCAGAACTGCAACGTAGCAGAAAACCACGAAGCCAAGGTTTACTATTGCTTTTTAAAAGGACAGATGGGGAGAAAGGGGCTTTTCAATTACATCTTTAAAAATAAGGGGACCAGAGCAGAAAAAGTACAGTAGGTTAAGGTGAGGGCATAAATGTTTGCAAAGTTGAAGGCAACAGAACAAGTGAGGAAAAAACAATACAGAGGGTAGCAGAAGCTGTGAAATTTAGCAGTCTTGCATCCCTATGCACAAACAAGTTCTTTCACGTACTCGTGCAACCACAGCCTAGGCTGTGGAGACCCGTGCAGGATTTAGCCCCAGCTTCCTTCCCCTTCTCCTCTACTAAATTCACATCCTCATCTTGGACCCGCAGCTGACACCAAAAGTTGCTTCTATTTTCCCCAGAGATCTGCTGCTGGAAACAACCAGTTTATTCCAGCAAACAAACTGTTCTGAATACCAGCTCCAGGGAACCAACAACAGGTGCCAACAGTTATCAGAAAGTTACTTCCATACCAAAAATGCATGAACAAGACATGAAAATAGGACTCCTTTTAAAGGGGGAAAAAGACATTCATGGCATTAAGCCATATATTCAAGGAAATCCGATTTTTCCACCTGCAGGACAGGGTTGGTTGGGTTTTTTTTCTTTTTTTAGCCTCAAAATGATTGTAAGCCAGCTTTAATACCATGTCCAACTGTTTCAAACTAAAAATTGAAGACCCTGTGAAACATATGTCTATGTACTAGCTTCAAAGTGCTCCTTTTCACCCTTCCTAAGAACCGAAACCATATTTAACTGCAATTTCAGACTTTTTATCTCCCTTCCCAGATGGTAACCTGGGTTTGCCCCAACACTTGCATGCAAAAACTAATAGAGCGTGAAGTTACAATTTTCCATATATACATATATGTGAAAAGTATGCGTTGCAGAAAGGCAGTTTCCTATAGAAATCACTTTCCCATCTTTTCATCTGGTGCAGCCTCTTGAAATATCACCAGTATAAAATACGGCTTTAAAAAACACAGCTCTTCTGTGCCTTCGCCTAAGCATAGAATTACAGAGAGCACAAGCCAACACTTCAATCAGTACACTCAGTTAAAGTTCATCATCTTAAGTACGTCGACTTTTTGTTTGCTTGAAGATGGCGATCGTGATGTCAAGGTCACTTTTAGGTCTTTGAAGTGAGTGTGAACCTTTAGCCTACAACTGATCAGGCACTACAGACAAGCAGGAGGAATTTTACTTTAAGCCCCCCTTTAAAGGGTACCTTTCTTTTATACAAGCAGAAAACAGTCTAAAACAACGTGCAAGATTTAAACTTACGACCTTACGGCCTACAGTGCATGCAGATGCCAAACCGACTCATGCTCATAGAAACTTGCTGTACTATCACTCCGATACTCTGCCTCCTCAAAAAGCAGATGCCCCTTTCAAGTCAAAAATTAGGGAATTACTTCTTTAGGACAGGGAACCACTTGACCAACGCTGCAGTCAGGGTTTTCCTCTCAAAGGTTCTGATGTTATTCCAGTATGGAAGTGGAGCTATAAATACACTGAAAGGGCAGCTACGTGGAAAAAAGCTAGCATATTTAGGGACTGATTTATGGTATCGATTTAGGAGGGCAAACTCTTGCTTACAACTCTTGTCCATTAACAGACAGCGTAACTGTACACGATTTAGAGTTTGAGCGGGAAATTTATTCAAACTTTGAAAACATTGATACCACTCTTAATTCTTACACTTTGGTAAAGCGGCATCCTGTGAATATACACATAGAGGATCGGCCAAAAATACAGCCCGTGTCCAATTTGGCAGGGAAGCACAGCTCTGCCATGACCCATCAGGACGTTCTCTTTGCAAGCCTGATCCCGCGTCCTTCAGACAAACAGAATTTTTGCCACTGGGAACCAGAGAATGGGCTAAACCAAAGATAATTTTCTTAATTTAAGAAGAGTGTCATTTCACCGATTTCCTGGCATTTAAAAAAATCATCCATAACACCAACAGCTTGAGAAGTGGTTGTTAATCGCTAACAGATGAAAATAACGTGGTCACATTAAGACCCACATTCACAGATTCTCAAACCAATCTGAAGGTTTAGCTGCTTCAAAAAAAAAAACAAACAACCGAACAAAACCACCCCACTGGTAACTGCAAAGGCCATTTCTACTTAAATACCACCTAACTGGCTAAAGGACGATTAAAAAAAAAAAAGGCCCAACATTTTGTACCAATTACACAGATGCCGTGAAGCGACCCGGGTGCCAATGGGAAAGGGCTCGGCCGAGATGACTCCTGGCATCACCCATTCCTCCTACGTGACTTGACAGCGTCTCGGCCAGCACCGAGGAGCCCCAGCGCCCAGCAGAGCAGCACGGCTGCTGCCCTGTCACGAAATCTGCCCTCTCAGCAAACGCGCTCCATTTTCCTGCGAACTCGGGTGTCAGCTCCCGCTACAGCCCCTGCTAACGTTATTTACTTCTGAGCAACAGCGGGATGAACTTTTAAGTAAGGAAAAGGCACTTTTCTTGCAACTCCCTCCTCCACACACACACACACACTCCCCCCCCGCTTCTCCCCGATGCGGAGGGCTCCAAATCCCAAGGGCAAACCCCCCCCCCGGCCCCTGCGGGGAGGGCTCCCGGGGCATCCCCGGCTCCCCGCCGTCTCCGGGCCAACAGCTCCGGCTGCAATCCCGCCAGGAGCGACTTTCGGCCGGCCGCGCCGAGCCGAGTTACGGGGCACCCGCCGCCCTCCCCTTCCATCAGGCACCAGCACGGCAAGTGTTTACGTTTAAAAATACATATATACCGAGCCCGGATCCAAAGGGAAGACGAAAAAACTCCGCCCCCCTTCCCTCTCCCGACTCCCTCGGAAAGGCGATAAAAGCGGGGCAGAAACATCTGACCGCTCGGTGCCCCCCCCTCCTTTTTTTTGGGGGGGGGGGGGAGGGGAACTGACAAAAAGAAAAGAAAAGAGGAAAAAAAATTTAAAAAAAAAAAAAATTAAAAAGTGGGTCGGGAAGCCCCGCGGGACGTACCGGGCAGCAGTCCCGGCCGAAACGGGGAGGCGGCCGGGAGGGCGGCTCGTCCGCGCCGCCGGGCCCGGCCGGGAGGGACCGCGCGG